TAGTTCATTTCAGGATGATCTGCCTATGATATTTAACAAAAACTAATGACTTAATGATTTTTAAAGGGAGGAGGAAAGTAAGTTATAACCCCCAAGACAAACTACAAGCATATTATGAGCTGTCTTTCTAATGCTGGAAGGTTAAAAACCACTACCAACAAAAAAACCCCTACCATCACAAAGATGACACAATCTGGCAAACTGCAAAATTCTAATCAGAAGGCCCCAAATAGGGGTGCCTGGGTGGCTCAGTCGTTAAGCGTCTGCCTTCGGCTCAGGTCATGGTCCCAGGGTCCTGGGATAGAGCCCCACATGGGGCTCCCTGCTCCGCGGGAAGCATGCTTCTCCTTCTCCCACTCCCCCTGCTTGTGTTACCTCTCTTGCTGTGTTCTCTGTCAAATAAATAAAATCTTAAAAAAAAAAAAAGGCCCAAAATAAATACCAGAAAAAGTATTATTCAGTCTTAAAACTAATTGCTGCATTTCTTATTACTACTCATTTGTTTGAGTCACAATCTTTTCTTTAAAACATGCTGTCCCATATTGTGGCTATATTGTCATAAAACAATGTAAAAAGAAAAACTGGTACAGAATAAGGGGTAGAAAGGAAATTACTTTTTTTTTTTTTTTAACTTCAGCATCTCTTAAGAACCTTGGGAAATGCCAAGGCTTGATTAATTCAACAAATAAATTTAATATCTTAAAATTTTGTGATAAGACATTAAGAGGGAAGGTATGGCAGATAAGAATACCTCTGGGGTTACTTTCAAACTATACAAGTCCCATATAACCCACCATAACCCCTCAAAATCAGGGGGCAATTCCTGTTCTTTTTTTTTTTTTAGGGGGCAATTCCTGTTAAGAATCTTTGCTACAAGACTGATATTGGTAGATCACATTTCCCAGATGTGTTTAGAAAGCTGAGAAACATTGGTAAGCTGAGCAATAAAATTAAAGATGAATCTCTTGAACTACATTCATTTGTTAAAGACTTCTTTACCATCTGCAGATGCCACACTGGTTCATATAGGCTTGAACAAGTATTCCACCCTTCACACTTTTTCAAAGGCAAGAAATTCGCTGTGGTTTCACATATGCATAGAGAACATCTGTGAGTCAACAATACTAGCACAGTGTTAATGCAAAGACTGCGGGGACCACAACTTGCTGGTTAATTAGTTATAGGTATTTAAAAAGACCAGAACCCCAATACTTTTATCTAGTTTCATGAACCACCTATCCAAGAGGTTCAAACTTAACCCATATTATCATTCTGTATTCTTTAAGTGGAGGGAGAATCAAGAGTTTGTTTTCAATTAGAAAAAATACGCAAATACTGGCATTTCCACTGAATCTTTTATTCACAACCTTTTAAAACAGAAGTGATTTTCTGCCATTGTGTCTTCCTGGGTCCATCAAACACTTAGTAAAAGATCTGACTATTTACACAGTGTATTTTTTTTTTCCTGTAAAGCCATTCAAGAACTAAAGAAATATTTCACATCCCAGATTATTTCTGTGGCAACCATGGTAACTATTAGCATCTATAACTAAAGAAGGGCTAACTGCTTCCTGACCTAGTCATGTTTACCTTACGTGTTTCTGTGCTCAAGTTAGGCTTTATTTTTCTACTTTCAAAACAGAATAAGTAGCTCAGTAATGAATACAACTGTGCTCTGCTTTTAAAGGTCATAAACTCACACGATTCTTAAATGCATAATCCATAGAAATATGAAATAACTACAGTTACATAAGGTCCTAAGTAAAATATCAGGTTTAAAATTTGAAGTACAAAGACCATTAAAAACAGTCTATTTGCCAAATCCACTAAGAAACTAGAAGCAATTTAACAGCTGTCTAAATAACCACAAAATATTAAAAACACTTCTGGCTCAATATAAATGACATCTGAAGTGAAATGCTGCCTCCTCCAACAGACATCTCATTTGTTTGCCTAGAACCGTTTATACTTCATTTAAGCCAGCTGGTGTCTCCGTTTGCAGGCATGCATCAACGTCTACTGAACAATCTAAGTTCCTGTAAACCCTTCCCCATTCACAAGCTGCAATTTCCATTTTTAATGGCAAGTTTCCAGCAAATACAATGAGTTCTTACAAAGGAATTTAACTCTTCATCCAACTCAATTGCTAAGGCAGACTGGAGCAATGGTAACAAGACCTAAACAATGTGTATAAAAGTGCCTAGAAAACTCCCAAAGCGTTGACATCCACAAGAGGATCTCTTCACCAAACCTCTCATTTGGTACACAATTATGAAAAATAATGTATTTGATTTGACTGACACAGTGTCTTGTTATATGATATCTCAGTTTTATTAAAATAATTTTGTTCTTGGGAATGTTATGACAATCTCTGGCTAAGAGATGATAATATTCTGAGATGTTTCAAAACCCAATGGAGAAGTATACAGAACACTCTGAATCTGTTTTCAACTAACTTACCAGGGTGAGTACTGATGCAGCTACTGGTAGAAGTATTCATTTTCCCAACCAGTCTACCCACCCTCCCCCATTCACTTTTCCTTTTTCATATCCTGGGTATTATAAACCTTACTGCTAACATCCTAGAGCTGGGGTGGACACACTTTTTCTGTAAAGGATCAGACAGTAAATACTTGAGCTGTGGGAAAATACAGTCTCTGTCACAAATACTAGCTTTGCAGTTGTAGCCTGCAATGGACCATACTTTAAGGGAAAAAAAAAAAAAAGAATGAGCATGGCTGTGTTCCAATAAAACTTTTTTTTTGCCAGCCCTTTCCTTTTTCCTGGCTTTAAGCTGCAACAGTTTGAAAAATACAGATTTAAATTATTTAAATAGTCATCAAGTCAAACTTTGGAATCACCTTCCTGGGATGACTAAAATAAACTAGGGGTTCAGTCCAAGTTCCTGAAACTAGTAAAGTCACAACGTGATTTCAGCTACAGGTCAAAACACACTATGTAAGTACCAGAAAAGAACGATGATAAAACAATAAATTATATGCATGCTCTGAAAAAAATTCACTTCAATACTCTAGTTCTAAATTGTTTAAATTATACTTGAACTCACAGAAATGAAAGGAAAACAAAGTTTCCACAGAGTCCCAGTCGATCTCAGCTTTGTAAATCACCTTCCATTTCCAACCCTAGCTACTTATTTCAGCCAAAGATCTACAGATATTCACTCTTGTAAAGTTTGAGAATTACCACTGTTAAAACAAAAATCTAAAAATTAAGTGCTTGGAAAAATTATTTCCAAGATTGGGGACAAGAAAACTGAAAAGGTCTTTGATACCTGCACAACACTGCAGCTCCCATTATGACAACATTACTACAAAACCACACAGGAGCCTGCCCAAGCTGGCCATCTAAAAACAAAGCCAAATTAAATTACATGTAGAATATTATTCAAAATTACAGTAAAAAAGATAAATTTTACAATTCAAAACTTAAGCAATTTCAACTTTTTCTGTTAATATTCAAGTCAGCTGAAAAAACGAAGTTCTCTTTTAGCAGACTCAAAATTATTAATTAGGGTGTGATTTTAAGAGTTCAGGATATGATCAAACTTCCAGAGTAGATGTCAAAAACACCTTGAAGAAGAGAAGACAGCAATATTTTGTAAAACGTGAATGTGAAACATCAGGCTTAAACAATTTCAGTAACTCCAGTCATTTTACTAAGTTTTTGTCCATTCAACTACAATTTGAGCCAGTGTGGAGCCAACTGCATTAACCAATGCTACAAATGCATCAATGAAACGACAAATTTGTAAAGGATCACAATTCTTTCTGAATAAGTTCCCTTTAAAGTGAAAACAAGTATTATAGCTCCTGGCTGGTTTACCATATATGCTCAAGACTATTGCAGCATTGACATATACTTTAACTCTCAAACCTAACACTGTATTAATTCACCAGCTCCACTGAAATTTATGGCTAGTTAGCCAGGGCTATTTTTAAGTGGCCTTATTTGTTAAGTACAGATTCCTAGGTATCATTTCAATTTTCAAATGATATCATTTGACTAAAAAGACAAACTCTAAAAATAATGTTAATCACCAGCACATTCTCAACACTGATTGTTTCTTTTTTAATGCAAAGCCTAACAGCAAATCAGTGAATGCCTTTACATACAAGGAAGTTTAGGTATAGTTACTAAATAAAATTATCTGAGAATTCCTCTGAAAACCCGCTACAACTCTAAAACAGTATATCCTTAAATGAGGTCAAATACTTAGTAGCAGAAATGGTAGCCTAGGCATTTGAGGGTGTCCCTAAAAATCTGAGGAAGGATATTTAAAAACCTGACTTGAACAAAACAATTCCAAATGAAGTTACCAAATATAGAGGTATATATTGCTCACAGTTTTTTAAAAGTTAATAACAAAACACTTAAACTATGAAAAGGCTTTGTCTGCAGATGATATTACCAAAGGCTCAAATATGAAACCTTTGCATGCTATACACACAAAAGAGATTTACACTACCAGTCCACAAAAGCCTATCCTAGGACTGTGCCTGGGGCACACAAGGATTTTCAAAGTACAGAAAAAATTGGGCATACACATGCAGTACAAAGCAGCCAAAAGGCATTTGCCCATAGTCACTTTCAGGAAATGTTTCAAGATGAAAAGCAAAGACAGTCTTAAGTCCCTTAGAATCTTGGGTTGATTTCTTTATTATTCTTAAGGCCTAAGCTGTTCTCCCCCAACATACTCTGTTGAGGAGAAATAGAGCACCTCCAACTAAAAGCAACTACTCAGGCCCAATTTTCAATACAATTCGCTTTTCATTAAAAGTTCAAGTTTCTCAGGGTCTAGATGTATAGGATGATCATATTACAGTACTCGGGAAGAGCATTTTCTTTGTTGTTGACCCTGCTAGGGAAACAGGTCTTGACTCAGCCAAAGTGGCGTTCTTGTGGGTGATTAATGACAGGCCTAGATCTCGCCCCAGTGACATCCACCCCACCCCCCACCCCCTCTGTACTAAAATCAGCCATGTCTGAACTGGAGGAGGGGCTGCCGCCTCGCCTCAAACCACCCAGTCCCACAGTTAATAGCTGCAACCAATCGATTCAGGGAGACAGACATCGAGATTCGGGTGAAATGTTACCCTTCTCTCGCCTAAATTTATGAATATCACCCTCTCTGATCATTTCCGCTGGGGCTCTCCAGACTACGGAAACACTCAATTCCAGTCATTCAGCCCAAAGAAAAGGATCTTCCTCTTCCCCACAATACCCGGCAAGACACAGCCCCTACCCTCCCCACCTCCCGACTCCCCCACCCCCTTGACATCAGGCCATTTCTATTGTGTCGCCGAGGCTGGAGGACCTAACTAAAAGAAATGTGGTCGCTCTACTACTTTGCTAAGGAGGAGGACCAGTCCGGCACCCCCACCCCTGGGGCCGCGTTCCGCGTCCCAGGACCCCCGTTCTCTAGCCCACCCCGGCGGCTGCGGGGCCGAGTCCCACCTGTGGTGAGGCGGGAGGAGACGTCGCCAAAGGGGGACGGCTCCATTCGGAGATACTTCTGCGGTGAGGCGGCGGCAGCCGAGAAGGAGGCGGCGGTGGCGGCGGCCGCCGACGACGGAGAAGCAGCAGCCGAGGTGGGCGCCGACAATGGCGCACATCGCCTCCGCTTCGGGGACGCCGGGCTCAGCAGCGGGTCGAAATCCAGAGTCCTTTTCAGAGTGGCTCCGCACGCCATGGCCGGGGCAGCCGAGGACCGGGCTCGGGTGGGGTCGGGGAAGGGTGACGGGAGGGGAGGGTGAGGGAAGTGGGGGAGAGCGGGGACTCGAGAAGAACCTAACCGACGGGCTCAAGAGCAGAAAGGCGGGTGGTGGAGCGCCAGTGAGGAGATAAGAGCCGCCGCCGCCGCTCCCTCCGCGGCAGGGGCAGTGGCCCGGCCGGCCCGAGCGAGAGCGGGAGGGGCGGTGGCGGCCGCTCACGACAGCCGCGTCAGGGGGGCTCTTCCGCCTCCTCAGGCACAGCTCCCCCGGGAGAGGCTCCGGCCGCCCCCGCCGTCCGTTCGAGCTTTGCGCCGCGCCTGAGGCGCTCCTGCGCTGAGACCGGTTCCCTTCGGAAGTCGATACCAGCCCCGTGAGGTATGAGGCTGGAACGCGGCTACTAATACGCCCGAGTAAAGTCAGAAGCTTGAGAGTGGCGGTCGATGCGGAGAGATTGCGAAGTGGCGGCGGCAGGAGGAGCTCAAGCGGTCACGTCCAGCCGCTTCCCCCTCCACTGTACGACTATTCCACCCGCCGCCGGCCCCAATATGGCGTCAATAACAACGCCGCCGATTCAAATTCTGCGGCCTCAGGGCGCGTGCGCACAGGGGTGGACACGCCCCCATAGGCGCATTCTGGGAGTTGTAGTTTTTCACTGTGGAAGGGAATCGGCGTGAAAAGCGATTGAGGAGGAGTCACGAAAACTACGACTCCCGTCATTCAAGGCGCGCCATTCCGAGTTCCGGGTTGGAATTTAAATCCCCTACACAGCTTGAGTGTAAAAGGAACTAAGCAAGAGAAAAAAGAAGAGGCTGTGAGTGGGAGAGAGGAAAGCCAGCCGATGCAGAAAACAGGCTTAAAAGACCTTTAAAATTCAGGACATAGTTGTCCTGATACCATTCCCACAGTGATTTAACAAATGGGAAATAGAAAACTTAGCCAACCTAACAGTCCAAGTCAGATTAATTTCGGTAATAAGAGTGCTAAAAACAAAACCTGTCATAATGAGGGGCTAGGAAATAAGATTATGGAACCTATTTAGGACTGCAAGGGAGAACAGTAATAGTATCAGATTACAGGATCCTTGAATGAACTGGATGCTTTGCCCTTCCCAGGTAGCTTCTTGTATTCATTTATTAAACTCTGCAAAACCAGCTTTATCCTGCAAATGAATAGATTTGAAAGATGTACAGAACCAAATTGTTTCGCTTTGGATAAAAAGCGAGTGATAGCAGAAATTGTATTATCTGTTGAATATTGTAGTATAGTATATCTTGTGAAATGTAAAAATTAAATAAAAAACCGTTAATGAAATGTCTAGGAGAGTAGATAATGAACCCATTTTATAAGCAAAAAATTTTTTGTAAAAGTTGTACTGTTATTCAGGTACCTAAAATAAAAATCAAATACAGCATTAATAATGTAAAAAATTGTCACCAATCTTTTGCCCACGGAAACTATCATCAGTCCAATACAAAACTAGTTATCTGTATGAATGCCATATTATCAAATGATTATGGATATCACATACAGGCTTCCAGTGCTTATTTATTCCTGTCATTTATTCAGTAACTAAAAGATCTTTTATACCATTTTGTCTATTATTCCTATCATTTTTGACAGTTTAATATTCCTGTTTTATTGAATTGTTCAACACCTTAAAGATCAGCAGTCCTAATCATATTGTGTCAACGACTAAGCTACATTAATTTTATTTTAAGATATATTGTTTGGGAAATATTTTTTGAAAATGATCAGCATTTAATGAAACAACAGCTTATCTCTGACACCTAATAGGTAAATTTTTGCTAAATTCTAAACACCATGAAACAAAATTTATGATATGAAATTAACAGAATATACATATTTTATGTAAATGAGTAGGAAAAGATAGATTAAGCTGTGGAAAGCAAATAACAAAGCATTTATATTTCTGATAAATATTTTATGAAATTAAGATTTTACCTTGAGTTATAGAACTTACATTGAAAAGGGACTGTTAGGAATTGAACTTTGTCTTTTCAAAATTCATATGTTCTAATCCCAGGTATCTCCCAATGTGTCCATATTTGGAAAAAGGGTAATTTCAGACATAACTAGTTAAGATGAGGCCATACTGGAGTAGGGCAGGCCCCTAATATAACTGGCACCCTAATAAAAAGGGGAAATTTGGAAACAGGCAGAACACCATGTGAACCTGAAGATGCGTCTATGAACCAAAGAAAGCCAAAGATTGCCAGCAAATCACCAGAAGCTAGGAGAGAAGCATGGAACAGATTCTTTCTCACAGTCCACAGAAGGAACCAATACTGCAGATTCCTCGGTCTCAGAGTTCTAGCCTCCTGAACTGAGACAATACATTTCTGCTGTTCAAGCTGTCTGGTCTGTGGTACTTGGCAACAGCAGCCCTAGGAAACCTATAATACAGGGGGTTGTGGTTATCATTTGTGTTACCCTGCACTGCCCAGAAAATGAGGAGTTTAATGTAAAGGTGGTAGGGGATATCTGGTAAACTTGACATTGTAGTCCTAATAGCTGCCCATGCAATCACCACTGCACAGCATAACTGCAAAGGGCTCTCTGTTATTATTAAACAGTGGCAGGGCTGGGGCAGCCTCCTCTACTACCAGTGACTAAGGAGCCTGTTCAGAAGCTAAGAGAAACAGGGGAACTCTTCCCTATTCACTTCTGTGTCTTTGCTTAGGCTCTCTGCTCCACACTTTTTGCCTGGCAACTTAGGCTTTAAGACTCAACCCAGGCATTAACTCCTATAGTAAGTCTCCCCCCCTCCCCCAACTCCCAACACTTCAAGGCTGAATTAGTTTTATCGCTTCACAGAGAGACAGAAACCGATCTTCATATCTTCATCATTACTCTCACCACATCGCAATATAATTCTCTGTTCATGAAACTGCTTCTCCCACCACTGTGTTAGTTCCTTGCCAAGAGTATAGTAACTTGCACACTTCAACAGATACCTATTGAATGTTTCTTCAATAAACATTTTTTAATCACCCTATTCTCCCAGTAGCCTACATTATCCTTGTCTCTTTTTTTAAAGATTTTTTTATTTATTCATTTGAGACACAGAGATACAGAGAGAGAGAGAGCATGAGCAGGGAGAGAGGCAGAGGGAGAGGGAGAAGCAGGCTCCCCGCTGAGCAGGAAGCCCGATGCGGGGCTCGATCCCAGGACGCTGGGATCATGACCTGAGCTGAAGGCAGACGCTTAACCATCTGAGCCACCCAGGCGCCCCTTATCCTTGTCTCTTAAGATAGATGTCCACTAAAATGTAGCAACCCTTTCAGGGTAGAAAAAAGGGGTTGAAGAAAAAAAAACTTTAAAAAATTTCTTAGGCTAAAATTAAAAATAAAAACAATACTTGAAAACCCTTAAGTCTTAACTTGGTTTAGAAGTAAATACGTATTTTGTTGATCAAGGGGAAAACTATATTTAACACATTAATAAGTTGAATCAGGTCGCATGAATCTAAATATATAGTACAGCTAATGGCTCCAGCGACCTACACAGACCAAAATTGCTCTTGTTGTGACTAAAAGGCCTATAACAAATCTCAAAGGCTTGAAATAATTAGAATAGTTTTGCGACAGTCTAGAAAGTATTTCCTGATTTTCACAATCTCAGAAGCCTCTGAAGAAAAACTGTTTTACCAAGATGCTGGTCTCTGCTTGGTATTGGACTTTTCTAGCACCTCCCAAAATATTCCCCAGGATCTGATTCTGATGAGTCATTCTTTGACTAAAGCCAGTAAACGTAGACATAGCTGGATGACATAAAATATCATCATCCTGAGCCTGAAGATCTTTTTTATACCATAAATCATTTTCAAACAATTTTTCTGTTGTCAAAGATAAATGCAAATATATAAGGTGTGGAGAGGTGTTTGCTGACTTTGCATGCTGAGTTTGAGTAATTGTAGGCTCAGCTTTAGGAATAGCAGTTCTAATTCAGGAGTCACTTCAAATCTATATTCAGAACAAGCATTGCCTACAGCAAAAAAAAAAAAAAAATTGTTTAATCATTGTGTAAATGAGTGCAGTAGGGAAGAACAGACATTGTAATTCCTCCTACCTAAGGTTTTGCAGGCTGGCCGGAACCTCTTCTAAGAACCATATTTGGAATACATATTAGAATACGTGTTTTTTCATTGTACATATGGCTAATATTACTTTGGTTTCATTATTTTGAATGTGGCCATTATTTTGAGTTGATTGGATAGTCCTAGAGTAATCAAAACCATATATCTGTGAGCGATTTCAAGAGGTCACCTAGACTAGTCCCCAGCTCCAAGGTATGATTAACTGTAAAATCCTCCAGCCAAATCAGTATCTATTTCATTCTTCCTAGAGATTTTCAGGATCAACATCCAAAATCTTGCGGTTAAAATGCAACTGCAAATTCTCTTATATCTAGCTTTAACCTCTTCTCCATCGGAGGCTGATTTCTAATTGTATAGTGCTCTATAAAGAACAACGCACTCCAGGAAATAAGCCATGATTCACTTATCCTGAGAGACTTTCAAAGAAACCACAGCATAGTCTCTGAGCAGTCAAAATAAGTTTTTATGAAGCTCTTATTTTAAAATGTGCATGCTTTTCTCAAGTATGTACCATCAAGTACCTGTATCCTTACTCAGAAACCATTTACTCTTACTTTATAGAAAACACAATCATGTTTGGGGATCTTATTTCCCAGCCCAGCCCAATTAGAAGAACCAAGTAGAAGAGGGAAAAGGAAATTGAAGATGCTATACAGCAACTACAACAAGCAATGCAATCATTGTATAGCAAAGAAAGGGACTGCACAAAGTTAACTGCAAAATTAGGAAAGCATGACAGCCTTGAGCTACTGAAATATCAGGACAATCAGTCCAACTGCACCTGAGGCATCACTGTATTACTACAGCACCATACAATTAGGGTAGGGATGCCAGATTTAACATAAAAATATAAGATGCCCAGTTAAATTTGAATTTAAGATAAACAAGTCATTCCTTGTTTATGACTTGTTAGTACAAGTATGTCCCAAATATCACCTGTTTCTATCTGAAATCCACATTTATTGGGTATTCTGTATTTTATCTGGCAACCCTAAATAAATGGGTGACCCCCACGTCATCAGTAAAGCACGAACTGTGTTTAATATGCACTTGGAAAACTGTGTAACTAATAGGAAATTGGAAAATGTTCCATTGATAGTATTTAAGATTAAGAAAATCAAAACTTTCAGTTGTCTGGAAAGATACTTTAAGCCATGAATGTTCTATTCATCACAGAGTGCCAGGCATAAAATAAACCTTTAATAAACACTGGATGAGGGGCAACTGGGTGGCTCAGTTGGTTAAACGTCTGACTCTTGATTTCAGCTCAGGTCATGATCTCAGGGTCCTAGGCTCCACGCTCAGTGCAGAGTCTGCTTGTCCCTCTCTGTCTCCCTGCTTGCTCTCTCAAATAAATAAATAAAATCTTTAAAAAACAAAACAAAACAAAAAACATTGAATGAACAGTGAAAAGCTTAACACACCGTCTTCCCAATGGTGAGGCATCTCACGCCCCTGAAGTTTGTCCCTAGCTGTTGTCAG